CTAGGCCAACACATTTTGCGTTCACCCTAAACCACAGAATTCTACACTGTGATAACAGAAAAATTGTAAAATTCTGTGCCGTGAACAAACGTTGGACATTACAACTGTAGCCTACTAAAAGCGTACAATTTTGTCTGTGGGCAGTGGAGAGAGAGAAAGAGAGAGAGAGGAGTAGCGCGAGAACTTCCGGTCAAAACAAAATGGCGACCCGCGTAGTTCGGCTCGATTCGAAAAGTTAAATAGCCGTAGCATCTTAGTAGACAACCAAATTAATTTACTTTTGTGTTTTAACATCATATTTTAACTTTGTTTTGGTCAATTTGATCGTCCACACCGATAGACAGTATTCAGAAAGAGAGAGAGAGGGGAGGAGTAGATCTTGCGAGAACTTCCGGGCAAAACAAAATGGCGACCCGCGTAGTTCGGCTCGATTCGAACAGTGAAATAGCCATAGCATCTTTGAGGACGATCAAATTAGCTTACTTTTGTGCTATAACGTAATTTTTTCTTGGCTTTTATCAATTTGATCATCCACACCAACAGACAGTATTCCAAAATGAGGAAAAGCAGGTCTTGTTTCGCACTGGGTGAGAATAGCCTACGCTGGCAAGTCTCACCCGGGGTGAGAGGTAGATCGTTTTTCTATTCTCACCCCGGATGAGAATAGCCACTTCCAACATTATAACACCAAATTGAAATGGCCACCTCTATTCTCACCCGGAGTGAGAATAGTGCAGGCGAGTCGGTGAAGGTGATCTTGTAGTTCCGTTTGTTAAAGTCCACGATCCATTTGTTTACATCCAGAGAAGAAATCCAGAAGTCTTGAAGACCAAATACTATTTGAATTAGGCTACACAAGTGACAAAGAGCAGGGATGCAACCTAACCTAACTGCAAAACATCAAATTAGGACAAAATTCAGGGGGGCATGCCCCCCTGAACCCCCCCACCTCCATATTTTTTTTTAAGGTCAGGGGGGCAAGCCCCCCTGACTGAAACCCCCCTGCTTGACTTTAACGAACGAAACTACAAAATCGCCGGCGGGTCTTGTGGCTATTCTCACCCGGTGCGCGTTCAACAAATTTTGCGTTCACCCTAAACCACATAATTCTGCACTGTGATAACAGAAAAATTGTAGAATTCTGTGCCGTGAACAAACGTTCCATTACAACTGTAGCCTACTAAAAGCATACAATTTTGTCTGTGGGCAGTGGAGAGAGAGAAAGAGAGAGAGGAGTAGCGCGAGAATTTCCGGGCAAAACAAAATGGCGACCCGCGTAGTTCGGCTCGATTCGAAAAGTTAAATAGCCGTAGCATCTTTGTAGACAACCACTTTTGTGTTTTAACGTCATATTTTAACTTTGTTTTGGTCAATTTGATCGCCCACACCGATAGACAGTATTCAGAAAGAGACAGAGAGAGAGAGTAGAGGGGAGGAGTTGATCTTGCGAGAACTTCCGGGCGGGTGAGAATAGCCACTTTCAATTGAAATTGGAATGCTGAACTTGTTCTTTCTCATCTGATTCATTGTAATTCGGGGTGCCCACTACGACTGGATCAGGCCGATCGCCTGACTCATTGCCTGAAACTGAAAACCAACACGTGTTTTTGAGGCACCTGAGTTGGGCGATCGGGCTGATCGGCCTATCCCATCCGTAGTGGGCACCCCGTGGCCCGTAGCCATCATGTTCAAAATTGAGAGTGAGATTGAGAGGCGTACACACGCACCACATATAGACATATATGTCATTGTCATGGTCGTACTTTTACAGCCTTCATCAGCAGACAAGGATTGATAGGCCTAAGACAAGACAAAAAGTCAAAGTAGATCGAGTGTGCCATGTGCTTTCACTTTAGACTTTACTTTAGAGCCCCCCCCCCCACCCACCCCAACCCCCAACAAAATTTTTTAAGGACTGTAGTATTCCCTCCAGGGACAAAAGTGGGCTAATTAAAATAGAAAAGGTGAACGGTTGGTGAGTCACACAGAAACAAACCAAGTCGGAACTGCCATTTGTGTTAGCCTTGCTGGGGAATGGAAAATGGACCGGAAAGTCCGCCCATGTAATGGATTGCATTTGATGTGCCGTATAAAAAATATTAATTGATGCCCGGGGGAGGCCCCCCCACTAA